CACTTCGCCAGAGTGTCTTCGCCTGCCTTACCTGCAATCCTCCCCCCGCCGAACCGAAGGACCCTTATGATGGTGCAGGGGTCTGCTATGCTTGCTCTATCCAGTGCCACGGCGAACACACTCTTGTCGAGATATTCACCAAGAGAAACTTCACATGCGACTGCGGTACTAAGAGATATCCGTCTACCAGTCCCTGTAGTCTGCGCATCAACCCTACCACTAATACCAAGGGCGGCGTGCACTCGGAGGAACCGGACGCAAACAACAAGTACAACCAGAACTTTAGGAACAGATTCTGTGCGTGCGAGTGTGATTATGACCCCTTCCAGCAGAAAGGCACCATGTTCCAGTGTTTAGGAATGGGTACGTCCGAGACAGGCGGCTGCGGCGAAGACTGGTACCACCCTGGCTGCTTGGTTGGTATGGGACCCAACTGGTTCGAGAGCATGAAGAAGGAGAAGCCCGCAGCTGTTAAGGAACCCACAGAGGCCACAGCTTTGCCCACAATCTCGGAAGATTCAGAAGCGCGCCCTGGGGAAGAAGCGACAGCCGCCAAGAAACAGGATGATGAGGAGGATGTGGAGGAAGAGGACGAAGACCCACCGATGCCCCCTGGCTTTCCAGGCGAGGACGACTTTGAAGCATTCCTATGCTACAAGTGTGTCAATGCCAATCCGTGGATCAAAAAGTATGCGGGCGCCAAGGGGTTCCTACCAGCAGTCTTCACGACGCAAAAGAAGGCAGAGGTATTAGGCACGGAGGAAACGGCCAAGAAACGAAAGGCAGAAGACGACGCCGACGTATCAGAGGCTAAGCGATTGAAAAGTACATCCGAGCCAGCCGAGGATCAACCCGACAGCAGTGCTCCGGATGTCAAATTGGAGACTCAGGAGGCTTCGTCCGCTACTTGTCGGTGGGCTTCACTTCCATCCCCACCGGCCGAAGAGTTCTCGCTCTTTATGACTGAAGACTTCCGCAACAACATATGTCGATGCTCATCATGCTATCCTAACCTGGACCCGCACCCACAGCTTCTGGAAGAGGAGGAAACGTACGAGCCGCCTATGTCTGATGGCGGAAACTCGGAGCACGGAGGCTCCACAAATGGCAGCGGCAGCCTTCTGGAGCGCGGAGAGAGTGCCTTGCGCAATGTAGACCGTGTTCGTGCCATCGAAGGTGTCATGGCGTACAACCATCTGAAAGACCAGTTGAAGCCGTTCTTCCAGCAGTTCGCAGAGAGCGGCAAAGCAATTGGCGCAGAGGACATCAAGTCTTATTTTGCCAAGCTCAGAGGCGACGACCAGGCCATCAAGGACGCGGGAGGGGCAGCCAATGGGTCAGGGGACGATAAGGACGATTCGCGTCGGGAGCAAAGTGGCTACTGATCTACTTGAGTATCATGGTCTCTCTTGTACTTAAGGTTCTGCTTGTATGATAGCGTGTATGCCGGTTTCGATTGGATGTCGACCAGCAAGTGGCTTGCCACAAGGACATGGCTCATGAGGATATATGGCCTCCCTCAAACGATGTTGCCTGATTTGAGCCCACAAGCTCCGAATAGTAACTACATTTCTCCGGGAGACCGCGTGCCATGTGAGGCTCATCCCGCGCTTCCTTGAGGAGTTGGTGACATTTGAACCTCATCTGGCGAGTTCAATGCTTCTGCATTTCCGGCCAAGGACAAGAATGAGTGGATGGTGAGGTACCTTAAGCATAAGAGGTGCCCTATGCAGTGCCAGCCCTCCCGGTTGCGAGGCTACGAGACGCCTTTATCTCAAGCTTCCACTCATGTTCTGTGGCGCAACAATTGTATAGGGACAAACTTTAGGCCCAACTAAATGTCAAAATCACACAGCTGCACGTAAGAAAGCATGTTTTCCGTCACGGGACAACGAGCATGAGGGCTTCTTCGAGACAAGCCCCACAACGCATCATGGCTAGCCAGAGAAAAGTATGTATCAGCCATGATCGATGTGAGGCTGGTCCGAGTTTAACATCGGGGTACACAATGTTGACGTGCTTCCTCTCCAAATTGGCATCCTCGGTTTTTTCCTCGGAAAATCTGGGGGATATAAAATACATCAGTTCCATTGATCAACCCGGAATACTTGAATCAGTTTCAAAAGTCCTGTGCTTGCTCGTTGAGATGTGACAACTTACATAATACTCCTGGGCATAGTCTGACTTTCTGAACCAAAAACCATTCGTGGCTCACTTTTTGCCTTCATCCGGCGGAGTCCCCTATGTTATTGCCTTGCTAGATCCGTGGCGCCAGCATCATTGCCGGCCAGATTGGCGTGGGGACCTTGGTCGGCACCCCTCGACATGGAGCTAATCTGGCGACCCGAAGCTCTCAAAACAGCGGAGAGAATTGTCTTTTTGCGCTCTTCATGGTCTAATGCTCGAGGAATTTCGTCGTGGAACATCGAGTGCTTCCTCAGTAATGGTTGAATGTGTGATGTTCAATAGAGAAGAATATGAGATAGCTGGCAGAGATGAGCACAAGTGGAAAGAAGTGTTGAAGCAACTGCCACTCGCGTGGCCGTAGAGACCCGGAACGCCCTGTCCAAACCTTGTGAAGGCTCGACCGTCCGGGACCTCTGTCCTCTCCTATTTCTACATGGGCCGGTCAAAGTGGTCATGTGCCGTGGTGTTGTCGTTCCGCCCCTCCTTACTTCCATCGGGATGCCCGTTCTTCGAAGCTGCTGCGTTCCTTTATATAGACCGAGTTCCGTCCTCGGCTTCCATCATCTTGTCACCTCTTTCCTCCACATTCGTTCCCTAATCTTGCCATCTTCACCCTCATTCTTTGTATTTTCTTCCCTTGAAATCTCTCCATGATGGCTCCCAAAAAGGAGGCAACGATGTTGGAGATGAGGGCCACGAGGTCGACAAGCGACCAAGGAATCTCCGATCCCATTGACGCCGCCGAGGGTGCTAAGCTCGAGCGAAACATCTCCATACGGCATATGGTATTCATGGCGTTGGGTGGTTCCATTGGTGCCGGTCTTTTCGTCGGTTCTGGTGCTGCTCTCGGCTCTGGCGGACCTCTATCTCTCGTCCTCAACTTCGCTCTCGTCGGATTCGGCGTAACATGTACCATGGGCTGCCTGGGTGAACTTGCAGGTAGGTATTCTTCCGCATCTCTATCCCATACTCTCTCCCGGTATCAATATGTCAGACCGCAATGACAATGCAGTGCTAACATATTATCGCAGCCGCGTTTCCTGTAGCAGGCGCCTTTTACGAGTACTCTAGACGCATGATATCGGAACCTTGGGGATTCGCAATGGGCTGGAACTTCGTGTTTAACTGGCTCATTGTCTTTCCTTTCGAGCTCACGGTGATCGCAGCTCAGATCAAGTACTGGGCCCCAGACTTGCAGCCGGCCTATGTGATAACGCCAATTCTGGTCGTTCTGACCGCGACCTCGTTCCTCGGCTCCAAGTGGTTCGGCGAAATTGAACATGCCCTCGGCATCGGCAAGGCCCTCGCTATCACCGTCTTCATCTTTGTTGCAATCTTCATCATCACTGGCGCCGTTCCATCAGATCCACGGTACTTATCTTCTGCTTGAATCGCAATTTGGATCGAATCAATCTAACCTTCCATAGACACGGAACAGGAGCCAAATTCTGGCACGATCCCGGCGCGGTGAAGAATGGCATATCGGGCTTCTTCCTCGTATTCCGAACCGCCGGCATGTCGTACGGTGGCACGGAGCTCCTGGGCCTGACAGCGGCTGAGTGCAAGAACCCCCAGAAAGCCCTACCTTTGGCGACCAAGATCGTGTTTGGCCGCATCTTCTTCTTCTATATTATATCGCTCCTCTTACTCGGTTTCGTCGTCCCATCCAATGACCCTGGCTTAGCCTCAACCGGACACGGTGCCAAGTATAGCCCTTTCACGCTCGCAGCACAACTCGCCAATATCCAGCATCTCCCTAGCTTCTTCAACGCCCTTATTGTTTTGGCAATCATTTCAATGGCCAACACCAGCATCTTCGCTGCCAGCCGAGCCTTCCAAGCTATCTGCGAAAGAGGCATGGGCCCTCGATGGGGGGCTACAGTGAAATGGGGCGTGCCTGTATACGCCTTCGCCATCACATCCGTTTTTGGCCTCCTTGCCTTCGTCAACCTGGCACCCGGCGGTGGCGCCATCTTTGACTGGCTATTGAGCCTTTCGGGAGCTAGCAACTATTACACGTGGGCGTCCATCTGCGTCAGTCATATTCGTTTCCGCAAGGCATGGGCAGCGCAAGGAAATGACACCAGTCAGCTTCTCTGGAGAAGCCCCTTTGGCGTCTGGGGAGGCTGGGTTGGACTCGCCATTTGCTTTATAGGGCTCGCTGCAAATGTTCTAACGGCGATCTGGCCCATCGGTGGCCATGATGCGCAGGCCATCATCCGCGACAATATTGGAACAGTGATCCCGATTGCATTGTATATCGGCTACCGGGTTTGGCAGTCGACAATCATGAAGGTGAAGCAGCCTATGCTCGTCCCATTGGATGACATGGATGTGCAGACGGGTATCCGTCTGCTTGAGGATGTTCCTATCTCGGACGATGCGGGAGTCACCTTAGTCCGTGATGAGAAGTGATATATGTTGTCGATGTACAGCGATGCCGTTGAAGTGACTGACTGCATCAGTCAGGGTTCTCAGCGGCGAGACCCAGTCGGAGTTGGGTGCCTTATGCTTTCCTTAGTAGTTGAATAGCCACAGTAATAGTAGTAAAAGTACGCAAGGGACGGTCTCAGGAGGAGCTTTGTTTCGTTTCAACAAACCATTAATTAATGTATTCGTGAAGAGAGACCAAGGCCAAGGTGCTTGGCCAGCATGACATGAGGTATAATGCGATCGCCCATTTGCTTTGGAGACGATTCTCCTTTCCAGCAATCCCCAACGCCGGCAACTTTTTTTCCCAGAATGCTCCTTACGCCACCACAATTCCGATGGCATGCTTCATAAAACAGGTACTAAATGCATTATGTACTGCCTCATTGGCCAGAGGAGCCAGTGCTCGAATTCGCACTCGAGGGCCTCGGTGGCGGGACGGGCATACCCATGGGCATTCCCAGATCCCTCTGCATCGCGACGCCGCCCATCATGCTAGACTCCGGCGACTGTGGACGCGAGTACTCGTCGCCCATTTGCTGGCTCCCGGAAAGCTGTTCCTGAGCGGCTCTCTTCTCCAGCTCCTTCAACCGCTCCTTTTCCGCCGGGTCGATGAGGTCGTCGTCGTCGCTCCAGCAAGGGTCCTCGTCGCTGACCTCGGGCATGGCCATGCGCTTCCAGAACCGAAGTTCCTGGCGCGCGGCCACGTCCTCCACGCGCCGATCCCATCGCGTCTCGTCCTCGTCGTACTTGCGGCGGAAGTTGCGGAGCACCTCGTTGGCCTTGCCCGCGCGTTCCTGCATCTCCCAGATCTGTTCCCGGAGTCTGCTATTCTCGGCGCGGGCTTCGGCGAGCTGGGATCGGTATGAGCGGTGCCATGCGGCGACGTCGGTGACGTGCTTTGCCTTGTATTCGTGGAATTGCTTCAGCATTGCGGCGAAAACTGTCGCGTACTGGCTGAGGAGTGTCGCGTTGGCGTCGCGGCTGTATTTCGCTTTTTCGAGAGACTCGGAGAGGATGGAGATGAGGGTGTCGAGATTCTGTTCTTGAGCTAAAAGAGAGTGTGTCAGTGACTAAGGCAAAAAACAATTGGGGCAGGTGCACGTGGGCGTGCGCGCGAGCAGCGAGGGCGTACCAAGAATGTCGTCTGCAGCGTTGTGAATGAGGTCGTCGTTACCCATTCCCTGCGTCCTCGCGCGACTGCGCACCCTTCCAAGACCAGAGACAATGTCCTCTGTGACGCGACGGTTCTCCGTAAGCTGTCTACTCAGCTCCTCGACCATGCCGTAGATGTAGTTGAGCTCGGCCTGCTGGCCGGCCGGGGTGGGCACGCCGCCCATGCCGTTGGGCACATTGCCGCCGTTCATTCCGTTCATGAGAACGAACTGCTGGTACTGCGCGTGGGCGAGGGCTTGCTGGGCGGCGGAGAGGGATTGCGCGTTGGCGGACGGCGCAGGCGAAGAAAGTTGCGGCTGTGGAAGGGAATGTTGGAGCTGTAGCTGCTGCTGCTGTTGTTGTTGTTGTTGTTGTTGTTGTTGTTGTTGTTGTTGTTGTTGTTGTTGTTGCTGCTGGAGCTGCTGCTGCCGCTGCTGTTGATTCTGATGCTGTTGTTGCTGTTGCTGCAGCTGGAGCTGGCGGGAAGAGAAGTGGACCTGTTGCTGCTGAGACTGCTGTTGCGACTGGTTGTTGGAGCTGAGGATGGGGTTGAAGGCGAAGTCGTTGGAGTTGGAGGCAGGAAAGTTCATGGCCCTTGGTGTTTCTGCCCGCTTTCGAGGGGAGGGGTGTGGGTTGGGTTGCACAACTGGCGGGCAGCTGTCGTGAGTGAGATGGTTGCTCTGCTCTCGTGCTCGCTTCGCTTCTCTGTTTTACCCGGGGAACGGAGTGACAGCGCCGGCGCCCGCCGCTGCCAAAAAAGAAAAAGGTGACGGGACCTTGATTGACAAGACGCTTCTGAGGGGTGGAGCTTATCTGGCGCGCGTGTGTCTGGGTGCGGGTGCGACGGGTCTCCTTCGTGGGATGTATCTATTCTCCGTACCGCTTTGGGTTTGGAGTGGTAATAGGAGAGGGTGGAAGGGGCAGAAGGGGGTGTGATTGCTGCGAGACGCCCATGGTGGATGAGATATTGACTTAAGCGGATCAAATCTGCAAGTTAACTGAGGATTGAGGCGCTAACGTAAGCGATACTATCTTGGGCGGGTTATGCACAAAACGGCTATCAGCCAACTAACGACCAGCCTACGACAGCCCTCGATCCTTCCTCCTTAAGTGAGGTATTCAGTCCTTCCTTCCCTGGATAAAACCTCAAGAAACACGATGCCCAAGTGGGAATAAAAGCCAAAACAGCCCGAAAGATACCACTAAAGACCACTCTTCCTCTGCTACCATTCGGTACCCAGACTAATTCTCGTCAACGTCCATGTGGCTGTTGAGGATAGAGGCCTTAGGCGTGAGCTCGTCGCCCTCGCCATCCTCGCCATGCTCGTTGACCTCATTGTCAGCCTTCTCGTTGGTTGCAAGAGCGAAGTTGTTCATGATCTCTTTCATGTTCGCCGTGTCTTTTCCAGCGAGTGTAAGGGTCTTCTCAAAGTGATCGCGGCTTCGCTTACGATGGGCTTTGGTCTGGGTAGCTGGGACGCCAGCGTTGATGGGCTCGTAATGGTCAGGCTCGAGGCCAAGGGGTCGAGGGCCAGCGGGCTGAACCGAGGGACGCTCAAGCGAGGCAGACTTCGAGACCGATGCGATACGGACGCGGTTCTTGTGACGACGAGTGGAGGGCGAGTTATCCTCGACGTCGGTGTCGGCGAACATGACAGTGGGAGCTGTCTTGGCGCTGCGAGGGCGACTAGGAGGCGGGTGGCCGTGGCTCTCCTCGTCGTAGCGGAAGCCAGGAGGGGGAGTCAAGGGGCCGCGGTTGACGTCGTGCTTGTCGATAGCCATAGCAGAGTCCGCCTCGGGGCTAGCGTCACTCTTCATCGTCTTGCTGAGACCCAGGTAGTACTTGGGGCTGGGATTGAAATCAATGGCCTTAGCAACGCCGAAGCCCGGCTTCTTTGCACCAGTGCCCTTTCCATCACGGGCTTCGTCAGAGATACGGGGAGCCTTGACCGTACGCGGAGTCTCCACAGCGTGATGGGCCGGCTTGGTCGGGGTCGCAGCCGGGTCTTGAGAGCTGCCCGAGGGCTCCATGTCGTAAGCGCCATCAAAACCTTGGACTGACTTCATGATGGGCTTGTCATCAGGGCCCTGGACAATCTTCTTGCTGGCACGATAACGATCGTGCTCGCGAGCCAAGCGGGCAGGCAGAGGCTCCTGGTACTCGCGGATGGGTTGGACTTCGGCGTCGTCCTCAGGATAGTCAGACAGGTCCTCTTCGGTATCCTCAGGCGACTGGGTGAGTTCGCCTTCGTCATCGGCGCTCTCTGGGTGGCCAAAGCGGTTCTCTTCAGTGTCTTTGGGCAACCCATCAAGCTCGTCCGACGGAGATCCAAAGCCAAAGAGGTCCTCCTCTTCTTCATCACTGGGCAACTCGCCGAGCTCAGAGTCAGAGTCAGAGTCAGAGTCATCGAAGGGATCCTGGGCCATAGGATCAGTCGCAGGTGAATGAATGCGGCGAACATCGCCAGGGCCCTCGTTCTCGTCAGTGACACGAGACGCCATTTTGCCCTGTACTCTTTAGAAACCCGTGATCAAATTTGACTTTGAGAATGGGCTCTAGCTAAACAACTGTTAGCTGAAGGTGAGTGGGTAAGTCAGAACTGAAACTAACCGGCTAGGGTTTCGGCCTGATCGATCTTCAGAGTCGGGAAGCGCGGTAAGTCGATGATGGACACAGACGAGGGAGGACTAGTAGAAGATCCTTCGATGAAAGACAAGCAACTTGATGGGGCATCGGTCGAGAGAGAAAAAAAATTCCTAAATCCTCAAGCAAAGCGTTGCTGAGAATCGCGTTCGACACCAGGGTAGAGAGGCAAGGAAGGGGAAAAAGAAAGACAACTGCTGATAGGTAATGATGCCTAGCTCGACGCGAAAGAAATCGTTCGCCAGAGGAAAATCAAGGTCTGATGAGCTCGCGTGTTGGCACAAATAGTCGAAAAGACTCGAGCAATCGCCAGTAGAAGTTCTGCTGCTCGAGAATGTATCGTCAGAATGGTAAAGACTTGTTGATTAGGTTAGGTGTATCTCAGACTTACTCGAAGGACGGATTTCCTTTGACGATGGAGGTTGTTGATGTTTTGACCCAGCTTCTTTGAGGTGAGGAAGAAGGGAAAGAGAGGGTTGGGTATGCTCGAGAAAGAATTGTTGTTGTTTACCTTTGTGGAAGCTGGTGCCCTCATCGTGGGGCCCAGTTAGATATTCCCCGGGGGAACTTCACTCTGTTTATTTTATGAAGGCGAGTGCTCCCTACGTAGGGCCCAGTTGAAGAGGGTTGGACTCGCTGCGGGAGGACCTGTTATTGTTCGTCTTCATGGAGGCGGGTGCCCTCATCTTTGGGCCTAGTTAGGTATTCTCCGGGAAGACTTGTTACGCTTTGTCATTATAGAGCCGGGTGCTCTCGCCATAAAGCTCAGCCTGAGAGACTTAAGCATGCCCCAGGGGAACTTAGTGTTGTTCATACTTGTAGAAGCTGGTCGTCTCTTCGTGGATAGTTGCCACGGGGGTTCAGGAGGCATATATCGATCCAAGTCTTCTTGCTGCCTTAGAGGACCATATCACCGGAGTATTTGGATACCAAGATAGGGCCTAGGCGTCAAGAATTGCCTTCGAAGAGTTGCCTACCGTAATTCAGGAGCACATAGCATGGGCATAGTGGTTTACAGCCTACCTCAGCCATCCTATGCGAAATGGTCTCAGTTTCTGTGATACTACTAAAACGTTTGGTCCAAAGAAGTCGGATAATTGGGAAGAAGCATTCGGCATGAAAAAACTTGAGTCCCGCACATTTCAATGGATCATTAGAATATCTGAGGACTTCTTGAAGGCACATAGAATCACTGCCAGTCTTGGGATGAGGCGGCTTTGTCAGACGGGGAAGTCGGTTCTTTATAGAGACTTTGTTGATGTTACAATCATTGATCTATATACTTAGACATCTCTCTGATAACCATGTGTTACATCCTGTAAAGAACACTCTGGTTTACATGGAAACTAGCTTGAAACATCATACACAGACCGGAGGTTCTCTTGCTTCGTTTCATCAAAGCCACCAGAACTAACAAGGCGTTGGGGTTTGACTCGACTCAAATTGCAAATTTCTTTCGACCAGTCATAGCAGACAGCTGGTCATCTTAGGCTTCTAATACTACACTTTAGGTATCGTAGCAACTCTCATCTCGAGGCAATCGTGGATGTTTCCGGTAAAAGTAGTCAGGGAAAGAAGAGGGAGCCAACTGTATACGATAAAGTATGACGACGTTACCCAATACTGAGACTAAAGAGAAGTAGTTGAAATCTCAATGAGCAACGATGTCTATTCTGCCTTGGGTTACTTCTTCATCCTAACCCATCGGAGTTACATCCGCTTGGCACATCAGATCCTCCCGACAATATGGCCGAGGCCATGCTCATTTCGGCCGATTGCAATTTTGAGCTCTGTCAGCTCCAAGCCTTGGACCTGGAGAGAAGCAAGGTCGAGGCGAGCAGTTCAGGCAACGCCAGACACTACAGGCAGAGAAGGACGGGGAAGAAGTCAAGAAGGAGAGACATCAGATGGTGAGCTTGCGGAGACTCCGCCGCCGGACCAAGTTTACCGGGGGGCTACCGGTTATTTAGCGGGTGCGGGGTGATGCGGGGCCTCCAGCTTCCCCGCCATCCGGTCAAGCCACCCATTCGGGCCGTTGGGCACTCCATCCCGCCGGGCTTGTCCTATCCCATGCTAAAGAGCCAGAAGCCACTGCTAGGTATCCGTACTGGAGAAACAAACGAAACATGAACAGAAAAGATTAGATTAGTTCTCTCGCTTTCATGGTCTCGTTTCAACCCCCCTCCACCCCCTAGACACCACCAATGACAGCTCATCCATGCAGACAGCTACCCTTGCACCGGGCAAGCAGCAAAGCTTACACTAGCGCCGCTCTAGTATGATGCGTTTTCTCCATCTCCCTCTTGTCCCCCGCTGCAGTCGGTGCAGATGCACATCATCATCCCCCCAAAGTCCCGTAGCTCCCAAGTGCAAAGCCGGTAGACTGCGGGGAAGTCGATTCCAAGGACGAGGAATGAACAGCGTGACCTTCCCATACCGCACATTTCCTGCATTGTTCTTTTTTGTTCTGCTGTTCAGACTGGTAGACACGGCCTTACCTCGCTCCATTACTCGGTCGCGCCATTCAATCAAATAGACTTCTAGCCGCAAATGAGCGGTCCCGAACCTTGGCGAGCTACGCGCCCGGAGAATACGACATGGACCAGGCACCCCCAGGGACCTCCGGACACTGCAGATGAAAGACTGGATGACGTTCATGCTCTGGCCCTGCACCTAGTACGGGCCATCCGCAGAAGTCGCCTAAAAAAAACATTTGCGTGAAAGCCCAATTAGGTAACGGGGACCTAGGAGCTCTCGGGATGAACGGTTGGAGAGCAAGAGACGTCCGTTGCCGCCTTCTAGCGGGGTCACGTATCCCAACTCACACTCTCAGCCAATGTAACGATGCATAACCAGGTCCTTTGATCTGCAAAGCGACACCAAGTATAAAGTCCGCCACCGGGCCATTTCGTGAGCTGTCGTCCAAGCTTTTCTTGCCCTGTTTGCCCATACTCTGCCAGGCTTGTCAACATGGCGAGAAAGCTTTCTGTCCTCGGACTACTCAGCGCAGTAGCTTCAGCAGCTGTGATCCGCAGAGACTATCCCAGCGACGACGCGCTTTCAAAATGCCCGGGCTACAAGGCTTCTAACGTCCAGTTGTCCTCGACTGGATTGACGGCGGACTTGTCACTGGCCGGTGAAGCATGCAATGCATACGGAACCGATCTGGCAGACTTGACTCTGACTGTCGAGTATCAGACTGGTAAGTTCTTCAACTCCTTCTAGCCACCCCATATCAGCCCTGTGCCTTGCGAACCAATGCTCAGACAAACTGCAGATACCCGTCTCCACGTCAAGATCCAGGATGCCGCGAACCAGGTGTACCAGATTCCCAACTCTGTGTTCCCCCGCCCCGAGGCCACTAGCTTGACCATCGCAGAGTCCAAGCTGCAATTCAACTACACCGAGAATCCCTTTTCCTTCAGCGTGAGCCGTTCCGACACGGGTGAGGTTCTCTTCGACACTTCTGGAGCCAACATCGTCTTCGAAAGCCAGTACCTCCGCCTCCGGACCAAGCTGCCCGAGAACCCTAATCTGTATGGTCTGGGCGAGCATTCGGACCCCTTCCGCCTGAATACGACTGACTACATCCGCACATTGTGGTCTCAGGATTCGTACGGTATTCCCTCTGGTGCTAACTTGTATGGCAACCACCCCGTCTACTACGAGCACCGCAAGAATGGCACACACGGTGTCTTCTTCTTGAACTCCAACGGCATGGACGTCTTCATCAATAAGACGGAGGAGTCTGGGCAATATCTGCAGTACAACACCCTCGGCGGAGTCCTCGACTTCTACTTTGTGTCCGGTCCCTCTCCCATCGAGGTGGCTCAGCAATACGCTCAGATTACCGGCCTGCCAGCCATGATGCCATACTGGGGTCTAGGATTTCACCAATGCCGTTACGGATACCGCGACGTCTTTGACGTTGCTGAGGTTGTCTACAACTACAGCATCGCGGAAATTCCCCTCGAGACCATGTGGACTGACATTGATTACATGGATAGGCGAAGGTAAGCGATGGTTGGCCCGCCGTGTACTCCTTCAAGTAGACTAACAACCCGCAGAGTATTCTCTCTCGACCCCGAGCGTTACCCCTTGACCAAGGTTCGCCAGCTTGTCGACAAGCTTCACGAGAATGATCAGCACTATATCGTCATGGTAGACCCTGCAGTGGCCTACGTCGAATCACCCACCCTGCAACGCGGCATTGACGACAACATCTGGCTTCTCCGTAGCAACGGTTCCGTCTGGATCGGCGTCGTCTGGCCTGGTGTTACTGTATTCCCTGATTTCTTCGCAGAGAATATCACTTCTTTCTGGAACAACGAGTTTGCTCAATTCTTTTCGGCCGACAAGGGAGTCGACATTGATGCCCTCTGGATCGACATGAACGAGCCGTCAAACTTCCCCTGTTACTTCCCTTGCGATGATCCTTACGGTTCCGCTGTTGGATTCCCTCCCGAGCCACCCGCCGTCCGCGAGAACCCCAGACCTCTCCCTGGCTGGCCTTGCGACTTCCAACCTCCTGGAACCGATTGCGGTAACAACCAAACCAAGCGATCTGATGTCCTCGTCAGGAAGCAAATGTCGCCTAGAATTGTGCCTGCCGGACAGACGTTCGACAACTTGATGCTCGCCGAGAGACAATCATCCGGTGATCAGAAGGGCCTGCCCGACCGTGATCTTCTCTTCCCTAAGTATGCCATCCACAACAAGGCCGCTTGGGACACTGAGTCAAACGCAGCCCGGGGTGGTATCTCCAACAAGACCGTGAACACGGACGTGATCCACCAGAACGGCCTCGCCATGTACGATACCCACAATCTTTACGGCTCCATGATGTCCTCGGCCTCTCGAGTTGCCATGGAAGCCCGCCGCCCAGGTCTTCGCCCCCTCATCATCACGCGCTCCACCTTCGCCGGCGTCGGAAAGCACGTAGGCCACTGGCTCGGCGACAACCTTTCCAATTGGCAACAGTACCGTGTCTCCATCTCCCAGCTGATGCAGTTTGCTGCTGTCTACCAGGTGCCCATGGTCGGCTCCGATGCTTGCGGCTTTGGCGACAACACTAATGAGCAGCTCTGCGCACGCTGGGCCGCCCTCGCCGCCTTCTCTTCATTCTATCGTAACCACAACTCCATCGACAGTATCTCGCAGGAGTTTTACCGCTGGGACACGGTGGCTGACAGCGCTCGCAAGGCCATCGCCATCCGCTACCGCCTGCTTGACTACATCTACACTGCCCTGTACCAGCAGACCAAGGACGGTACTCCGCTCATCAACCCGCTCTTCTACCTCTACCCCCAGGACGAAAAGACGTTCGGTCTGGATCTCCAGTACTTCTATGGCGACGCCATTCTTGTCGCACCCGTGACGGAAGAGAACTCGACTTCAGTTGATGTCTATCTCCCCGACGACGTCTTCTACGACTGGTATACCCACGAGACTATCCAAGGTACCGGCGCCACAATTTCCCTGACGGACAAGGACTACACCACCATCCCGCTCTTCATCCGCGGCGGCACCGTGCTGCCTCTGCGCGCCAACAGTACCATGACGACGAAGCAGTTGCGCGAGGAGAACTTTGAGCTCTTGATCGCGGCTGGCAGGGATGGCACTGCCAAGGGCCAGCTCTATCTTGACGATGGTGTCAGTGAGGAGCAGGCGGGTATCACGCTTGTCACCTTTGATTACAAGGACGGCAAGGTTTCCGTGGATGGTGAATTCAAGTACTCGACGCCGCTCAAGGTGTCCAAGGTTACGCTTCTCAGTGGAGGCACGACTGCGAAGAGACAGGAGACCATTAAGACGATTGCTGTCGAGTATGCCTTGACTGGACCTTTCGTGATCGAGCTCAACTAAGATGGATAATTGGTCACCTGGATGCAGCCTGGTGTCTTCACTTTTCTTCATATATATACTTATTGTGTGAATATCATTAACATCACTTGCCTACTTCGCTATCTCATGATGTCTTCCACCACTCCCCTCCTTTACGTGATGCTCTCCTTAATTGACCGGCACGAAAATGCGGTCAATGTCAGCAACCCAAGACGAATCCGAGCTGGCAATCTTGATGGTGTTTGCAGACCCAGCAGTGAGGCTACAGAACACGGAGCTGCTCCCCGGCGTGTTCCCATCGGAAGTCGGCAGGAATCCAACAGTCTGCGAGACGCCGTTACATGTCACCGTGCCCCACCGCTGGCTCGTATCGCCGTTAAGATGCTTCACCCGCACCGTCGTCTTCCCGGAAGCCTGCACGCTCACCCCCGAGAAGGTCACGCTACCGCCGGCCGAGCCGCCAACGTAGCCCGCCGCCGCGGACCCGCTACACCCCGTGCACGCGACGCTCTTTGCGCCGCCCGCGAGCGTCGCGGCCTCGCCCTCGTACGACGTCTCGCTGGGCCCCGCGGCCCAGGTGCCGGCGGCGACGTTGGGCGTCCAGTTGACGTGGTCGGCGAGGGTGATTGTGGTGCCTGAGATGGCGAGGGGCAGCCAGACGTAGGTGCTCCGCATGAGGTTTGTGCTGACCCAGCGGTCGCCCATGTAGATCGCCGTGTCGCCAAGGGGCAGGATGTAGGTCGTCTGGCTGGTGTACGTCTTTGATCCGACGGTGGCGAAGGTGGCCCAGGAGGACCAAGGGCCTGCGAGGGAGGTTGCGTAGGAGTAGACCTTGAAGAAGAGTATGTCAGTCTTTGTTTGGAAGTGGAGAGTGGAGGGAGAACGTTACGTTGTCGTTCGGGTCCCAGCCGGTAAGCTTGCTTCCAAACATGAAGTAGTATCCGTTCTTCTTCCAGATGGCCGGGGCCTCGATGTGCTCGGACCAGAGGTAGACGTTGCGCGTGACGTTGAGATAATCCGAGCTCAGGGCATCGATTCGGAGACCATTGGGTCGCTGTTGGGTTTAACTCTGTTAGTCTACAGCTCATCTTTCAGATTCATCCCCATCGTCAAGACAGCAAGTTAAAGGGGATCCAATAGGTAATCGCAGAACTTACATCCTCAGTCAACAGATACGCAGACCCATCATCATCCTGGAACAACCCAATATCACGACTCTGGAATCCCAGAGGCTGCCAACTACTAAGATACGTGTACTTGCCGCATACCGTATCGCTCGTCGCGACGCCGATTTTGGCCTCGCCGTAGTTGCTGCTGTCAATGTGCATGTACATGACGTACTTCTTCGTCGCGCTGTTGTAAATCACCTTGGGACGCTCGACGACCCGGGAGGGCCCCAGGTCGCCCGCCGCCGTGGTGCGCGAGAGCAGAGCGCCGACGTAGGTCCACTCGACGAGGTTGGTCGAGGAGTAGCAGTTGATGTTTTGGAAGGCCGACCCTTCGGTCTTGTCTTCGCCTATGAGGTAGTACGTTGAGCCTACTTTCGTCACGCCCGCGCCGTGGGCTTGGATATGGCGGCCTGTGTTGGTCTGGATTGTATCATCACGGAGTTAGCTGGGGTGGTTCTCTTTCTTTGTGAACTTTGGAGCCGGAGGAAGAAGAATGCTGGAAGGGGAGGGAGAGGGGTTCGTTTCTTACCGCTGACCATGTCCCGCCCGAGACGATTTGAAGCGTGGCCTGCGCGAGGCCCGCGCCCGCGAACAGGGAGGCGAGGCCGTTGAACAGACGCATCGTGAAGATACTCAGCGCTCTCGTCAAGCCAATGTGTGTAAGTGTGTGTGCACCAATTCAATGGCCGAAAGATTCACTAACCGACACAAGGAGCGAGTCAAAAAAGAAACGCCCCGAGATCATGGTCCTCCCCCCGTCTTCATATACTTTGCCCTCATCCTCCATATCGTCCGTTCCTCCCGGGACACATCGATCCCCAGCCCCATCCGTGAACCATCACAACGCGATTGTCCATTTCCAAATTATCCATAGATTCGAATACAACCCACCCTACTTCCCTCCCACTCCCGCCGGCTCCGGGATCCCCATGTCAATCAAATACCGTGTATTCGAGCGCATCTCGAAGAGCCCTGCCAGTTAAGCTTTCCTAAGCTTTCACAAGCTTTCCTCCAGCCTACTACGGCCTAGTTCCTCCTCGTGTCCCGGTCCCCAGTTTCTCCACGCCGCCAGAGGGGGGGAGGGGGGGCGCCATCACGATGGAGTGAACGACACTAGAAACGGCTAACTCGGCCGGGAAATTAAGAGATCCTTCCAATCGTCACTCAGCGCTTCCAAAATCCAAGCTCCAGTTCGGACCGAGAGACAGAGGGAAGAGGGGGGGCGAAAGAAGTGGTTCATGTCACTAATCAATATTATTGTCATGTGCTCAACCATCAGCGTCTCCATAGGGAAGACACACCTTTCTCAATAAGCCTCCGTGCCCGACGGTGCCCTGGTGCCTGATGTATAATTACGTAGAGGCACCGGTAAGTAAGACGTTTGAGGGCCAGGGGCAAGCTAGTTTCCCCGCATTTTGACTGCAACGCCAAACCAGGCGCGCCGATGCGCATCGGGCATCGGCGGATCTCCAGGAATCGAATTCAGGTGAAGCACCGAGGGCTTCGAACTACCGGGCAAGTACCGGGCCCGCTCCGGGGGGCTCTCGAAAGCTTGGTTTGGTGATATGCAACATCACCACGCGGACGGGTCATCATAGACCAGGAGAGTTCTCTTCCCCGGACTCCTCTTTCCCTTAGCCAAGCTCTCGGCTGGCCCGCTCTGCAGTGCTGGGTTGAAGAAAATCAGATGACCAGCACAAAACTGATACGGTTGTAGAGAAAACGGGAACCGGGGGACCGTCCAGGCACGATGCATTGATCTTCGTGATGGTTTTTAATGTCTCGGCTATGGTCTTGTCTGCCCTTTTGTTCTCTTGATTCCTTGTTCTTTTTCCACATTTGGTGCTAGCAACACCAACTCAACTAGACTGGCTACTCCATCATCGCTAAGCGGGTGAGCTCTGAGCCAGTAAGAGGCGAAATATGATCGAAGAGAATGAAAGTTGTTCATGTGTCTCATGTCAGTCGTACCCGATAAACTCCTTCCAATCGTTGATGACGCCGTAGTATATAAGGTCGAAGGAAAAAAATCCGCAACGCCACACCAGGTTCCATTTTCACACGCTAGCCATCCACTTCCATTCTGTCCTCGGCAGTATCCTTGGTCTCGGCTGTTTCTTCGACATCCAATTTCGGTTCAGGGTATGCCACCGATATCGAGTCTTTTGAGTCTCCGCCGATGGGGCCACCACCGTTGCCGGGGCCATTCCCGGCACAAAGACGATACTCGCCGTCATCTTTTCGCTCGATGATGCCTTCTTCAAATGCCCACTTTGCCAGCAGTCGATCAACACCGAGCCGCTGGCCTTCACCCTTCTCCATATGCCTGCCAACATGTTCTGTCCATTCGTCCCAAGAACCAGGCCCTTCAAAGACCACCTGGCAATCTGATTTGGGACATGCCGACCTCTGAGGCGGCGACCGGCGTGTGACGAGGCAAGTAGTCTGCATCTCCTTGACGTGACCCTCCCACTCGACTTGCAGTTTACTATCCCCTTTGGCAATGGCTTTCTTGATCGCGAAAGGCGCATGCATGCGACGAAGATGTTGGGTGAAGAGATCTTTTCGGTTGAACTCGTTGCCCTTGCCCTCAACTGTACTCTGCGGGCAAGACGAACACCGATAGTATTGCAAGCAGAGATGTTGGGATGCGATGTGACGCTTCCACTCATTCTTGGAGCCAAAGGTGCTCGTACAGCCTGCGAACGAGAAGGCACAAGGGAATGGCCTTGTATGTGCGGCTGCAATGTGTTTGCGAAGTGACGACGAATCCTTAAAGGGAGCGTGAGTACATAAAGTGCACCTCGTCTCTTGCTTCGGCGTCGCTTTCTGCAAGGACCGTCGATGCTTGGCCTTCGCATTGGGTGTACTCATGTCAATCGAATGCATCGTGTCATCTGCACCAGACTCATTCGCATCGTGGGAAGACCCAGTATCCTCCTGATTTGCAGGCATCGCCCCATCCGGGAGGGTCGTACGTTGCCGCTCTACGGCCGGCGGTGCTTCATCGCTCAAGTGGCGAACATGGCTGAGAGCTTTCAGCTGCTCTGCCGCTTCCTGCATCTCGGCCGAATCCTCAACATCGTCCTTGCCATCAATAACTGCGGCGGCAGCGGCAGCCGCTGCAAACGGCGCGCTGGACGGCGTGGTTTCGATGCGGTTCGCCGTCTCATGAAAAGATGCATCTTTGCTGTCTAATGAGCGCTGGTGCATGGATGGTGTGCTTGCCGCCAGCTCTCGCGCTTCCAACAAGATGCGTCCGTCCTCGACTTCCTTTGCTGTAGCTTTAGGAATTCCGGCAGAGCCCTTGAGCTTCTGGTACAGATGAATCATGTTATGCGATGTGATATATCCCAGGAAACAGCAGACCTTATCGTGCTGTACGACGTTCCATATTGAATGGGGCATTGATATCAGAAGCATGGTGGGCGGACCGAGAAACATTCCCTCGACCTCAATCTTGGCAGCCAGGGGCGGCGTGTTGTGAAGCCAGCCATTGAAGAAAGACATATCTGGACTGGCATCTCCAACGAATGTGGTACACACTAGTACTCGTGGCTCATCAAAACGCAAATCAGCAACAGATTCAGGGTCAATGAGCTGGTCTTCGCGCCCAGCCTTCGACAGCGATTCCCCGTCAGCCCCGTTGCGCGGCGATTGCTGTTGACCCGCCCGAGTAGGCAAGGGAGCTAAGCTCAGACTTTGACCTTTCCCAGGTGTAAGGGTGAAGCAGATGGGAAGTTGTGGTGATGGTGGCGGAGTTTTGCTGGCACCGTTTGTGAGTTTAGCTGCTTGTGCGGTTTCCTGCTGCCTCAGCTGGACAATCTCCTCGTGTAGCCTCGGTACACTGAATGGTCTGCCTGCGATGCTCAACTTGTGCAAAGCTTCAATCAAGTGATATGTGAATGATTTGCCAGCAGCCTCTCTGGGGTTTTGCTCAGGGCCGCCAGCTGCAATGGCTTGCTTGATGCCATGACTTCCGGACACGGGTATATCACGAACGGAGCAGGCGTCGAGCAACAGCAGAATATCGGACTGGGCATCTTCAAACAGGCATCGTACTCCATCCCACTTGAGCTTTGCGGCATCTTCTCGAGTATTGCTATGGAAGGGCGGTCAGAAGGAAGGGTGCGGAGACGTGTTTCGTAATAAATTCTCAACTCACCAAGCCCAGTAGAGCTGGTTATCCGATCCAACATATGCATAGCCGGCGTAGTAGATGATCAACAAGTGATTCGGTCGGGCATGTTCGAGAAAGGAGGCCATCTGGACCCCAAGCTTGATGCTAGGGTTGGGTACGGTCGGGATGGCCCATCGATTCGTCTGGTAGTTATATCGGTCCCGTAGTATGTTTTCCAAAGCCGTCAGATCGGCCTCGACCGAGGTGTCCTCCTCCCAGCGTAGCAGAAGAACCGAAACGCTATCGTAGGGTGCGCGCTCGGTTTGGCGCTGGATCAGCATGGCAGCATCTTGAAGATGCCTCGCGAAGGATTCGAAGTCATGGCGTTCGGCTGGAGGGGCCTCCTGGGTCGGGTGCTGCTGAGGCTGAATGGGTTCAAAAGACGGTTAATTCCAGCAGCTCAAATCAAGCTACGGGAGCGCAGAACAGAATCCTCACCGATTCATGGGGGAAAGGAGCCGGTTGTGTGGTGTGATTTGACGGCGACTCCTTTGGCATAAGCCGCCGTTTCTTGGATGGCTGGGGTTGTTCCATCTACAGATGTCAATGGGGAGACGATTTGTACAAACGCGGGTTGGGATTGAGTTGCGTTATGATCATGGAGGCGCTCAATGAGGGTGGGAAGTTTTGAGAGGCAAGCACTGGAGGAATTGGGCGATGGCTGAATTGTCGTGGGCAGTGATAATTGGGGGGTCAGAAGAGGTACCGAGGACGTCTACATACAGCCTCGTTGCGGGAGAAAGGCAGGAAAGAGGTGGAAAGGCTCTGGGCCGATCCTGCCTCTTCTGCGACGGGCCAATCAAGGCTCACCAGGTACTCGCTGGTGGTCCGTGCAGCAAGGCGGGCAGAAGTGAGAGTGGAGCACACTGGAGCTTCCTTCCTTCACCTTGCGCCGGTGGTGACTTCTCTCCGACACAGAGACGCACCTCGCTCAACCACTCACTCCCCATCATGTCATGAAGCGCTATCCTTTCTCCCTGCTTACAATGGCTTCGTTCTCTATTTTCTGGCTGAATCCTGTTCTGTCTCGCTCAATCTTGGCTCAATCCAATATGGCAATCCCGCCAATCTCAAGACCATGGCGGCCACTTTCCTCACCTCGCGCAGACATCAAACGCCCCCGTCACTCGTCCTCCATCTGTAAGGTATTAGGTATACAACTCATGCAGATTGACTGGGCTGAGTATACTACCTCGCGTGTGTGAGGTGTGAGTGTGTGTGGTGTCTGCCCGGTGAGTGTACTATGTAATGTGTGTGTGCCCCTCATTCCATCGCCGCCGCTGCCTCGACCGCCCCTCCTCACGCCTTTGCCGTGCTGCTAGGCGTCCAAAAAGACCTGATAACTGGTCTCTCTCATGCACCCTGCCTGAATCACTGCCATTTACTGGTGCCACCTGTACAACCTTGTGCTGCAAGGCGGCTCCGTTGGGCATGCCTCGGACGTCCAAGGCCACGCCAGTCCGTTCCCTCACATCTCTCTCCCATCACTCACTCACTCACTCACCCACCCACTCACTCGCGCCCATTTGCCGCAGTTCCTCAAGGTCATTCTGAGCTTTGGTTGTGTGCTCTCAAGGTCACGAAGCCAGGTAAAGAAATAAGGGCGTTTAGCACGGGCAGTCGGATGTAGCTTCGATACAATTGACTTTTGACGTCGGGTGTGTTTATGGACCTGAGCTGGCACCTGCCACCTGTCATCCGTCACACATCTCGTCCCTTGTCATCATTGGATTCATGCCCATCCAAATCTGTCTGTCCGTCTATGTCTTGTCGACCACTGCAGCACAATACCAATCGGTGCTACCGCCGCCACATACGAGGCATGGCAGCCCAGTCAGGCCGGCTGATGTAGTCTGAAGGCCGAATAGCGCCGCAGCGCCGTGAGGTCCGCCAGAGAGAGTCTGTCAACTCCAGGCT